AGTATGTATCATGCTGCTCGAATGAAAATGTACTTTTGTCTTCATTTGATTAATAAACTAACGATCTAGCCTGGCTACGAGTACTCAAAAAAAAATATATATATAATAACTTACTTATCATTGCACTAAAGTATTTTAAGTCAGATCTTAAAAAATAATGTTTCACTTCCCTAGAAGATTAATAAATAATCTCTATTCACTAGATTTATTGTCAACAATTTATTATTATAGATTATCTATAAACTATAAATTATTAAGCTAAAGAGAAAAAGAAAAAAAAAATTGAAAAAGGAAAAAATTCAAGATCTTATCAAAAAAGTCCTAAAAAAAAAACAATCTTTTTTTAAAAGAAATCTACTTAATTAAAATAGATTTTTTACTTCTCTTAAGCCTTAAAAAAATTTTTTTTTGTTATCACTTGCAATATTGAATGAATTAATTCAATTAGTCCTTTATTTAAGTTAGTATCAAATTGAAATATCTCAAGAAAAGTATTTAGACATTAGTTTTTATTTATTAAAGTTTTGTTATCACTTGAAAAACTTAAAGAAAAGACAAATATTTACAATTTATATTATTTATCTCTTAGTTTTTTAATATCATAAATATCTTTCTTAAGGAACTTGAATTTGTAAAAAATGAAAATTATTGAAATATTCTTTTTAATTATTAATAATATTACCAAGATATATGAGTTTAATTAATGAGAATATATTTATATTTCAAAAATTAATATGCATCATATTAACCCATTACTTTTGATAAGAATTTGTGCTATCTAAAATTCAGAGTTAAATTGAGATAGGTAAAATTTCTTGAAAATAGAAGCTTTAAACGGGCCTAAATAGTTAAAATGAAAAAAAATATATCTTTTACTATAATAAAACTTTTATAACCTCTTGTTTCAAAGGTTAAAAAGATTTTCAGTTACTTTATAATTAGTTTTTTTTTTTTGAAAACTTTCTTGTTGTTATATTAAAGGTATTACTTGACTTTTCTTGACTATTATAAGTCAAGTTTTTGAGTAAAAAAATTTATAAACAAAAAAAAAATATAGAAATAATTCTTGAAGTTATATTTTAAGTTGTTTTAATAAAAGTATTAAAATTTTATTAACAAAGAAGTAAAAAAACTTTTTCAAACATCTTTTTTATATATGATTAGAGAAATAACAAAAAGAGTAAAAAAAAAAAATTATTAATAAAATTATATACATAGCTTAATAAAAAATAAAACAAATAATATTTATAATAAATAAATTATTTTATTAATTTTAATAAAAATATCTAAATAAAAAAAAAAGTCTATTAAATTTATTAATAAATTTAATTTTTAATTATATGAAAAAAATATCTTTGTTTATTTTAAAAATTTAAAATATATATTTGTTTTTAGAATATAATAATTTAATAATAATTAAGTTTATTGATAATTTGTAATTTACCAATAATTTACAATTTATTAATAATTTAAAATAATTTTAGTTAAATGTTTTTTCTCAGTTTTTTTAGAAAATTTTGTCTATCTCAGCTTGACCCTAAATTTCAAGTAGTATAAAGTTTCTTAAAAGCTAATTGGTTCAATAGAATCATGTTAGTAAAAAAATATAAACAAACTCCTATTGGTCACCTCACATGTCTGAATGCATATTCTCAACTTTATAAAAACCTGAGATCTATCATAAGTCATATACTTTAGCATAAGTGAATACAGAACATACTATCACTATATTTTAGGATACATAGAAAGAGTCTATAGATCATGACAAAGATCACAAGAGCTTGATTAATCTTTTAAAAATCAGAGCCACCTATTTTTGATTGTATATCAGATAGGTTTCTGCTTCTATTGCTTGAAAAAATCCAATTGAAAAAAGTGAAGAAAATAACTAGAAACACTCAGTAATAAAGCTAGTATATATAGTAAATCAGGAAGTTTTCATCCTATCTTCAAAAAATCTCAGGTTGAAAGACTGGAAGGTTAATACTACTACATTAATTAAACTCAAGTTGGAAAATATCAGCTATGATATATGAGCCAATTAGATAATCTGAAAGATTCTTATTAATCATTAACATTAATGGCCACCAGCAAAGTATGTTAACTATGAAACTAGGTACAATCCTTCTATAAGGAATTAAATCTAAAATATGTTGCATAGATAGGTAAGTATATTCATATTTAGATAGGAATATATTTAATTGACAATATACCGGGAGACCTTCAAGTCATTTATATAAATATCAATATACCACTTGGACTTTCTTGATTACTTCCTTCTCATAAGTCTTAAAACCATAAAGTCTTTCTCTTTATTTTTACTTTATTTCTGTAAAGACTCGATAGAAGCTTTTCCAGATCATCATCAAAAGGAAAATTCAGAAAACAGGATAGGCATTCATTAAGAAACATTATAGTTACCCTTTCAATATAACATATGACCATTCTTTTTATTTTTTATTTATTTTCTTTAATAATATCAGCATGCTCAATGGGATGTTGATTTCTTTTATAAAAAAGAGGGCAATAAGTCTCAAAGTAGCTTTAGCTTATTGAATTCTTTATTTATCCCTGAATATATACCCCTGTACATGCACTTTGCACAATTGTATAAATGTAATTTGGAAATTAATAAAGATTAAACATGAATCCATTAAAAATATATATATATATATATATAGTTTTAGTTATAAATTTTCTAATTTAAATTATAAATTATATTTAATTGAAACTTGAATTTTATTTAACAAGTATTTCTTAAACTTGAAATTGATAAGTATGTTCAATGGGATTTTCCAATCTGAACTATAAGCTTTAACTAATTGGGATTTAACTTTTTTTGATCGACGTTCGTGTAACATTAGAAAGTTCACTTTTTCTTGTCTCTAATGATAATCATAATAACCAAATTTAAAGTTTTCTTGGTAAATTTTATTATTTATATCTTTTTTAAAAAATAGTATGTTTCCCGAGTCCTATATAAAATTTAAAGTTGGATCAAAATAGTAATGTTATCCGAAGCCAATCTATAGTTCACGACAATTTACAAATAAAGATAAGTGCGAATAGAGTAAAATTATAATATTAATTTGAAGGCCAATGGATTTTTAGATAAACTCTAGCTGAAAAAAAAAAAAAAAAAATCCTTGATAATTCAGAGTATAAAAATTTCTTAATTGGGATACAAATAACCTTATAACGAATATCATGAATTCTAAAAATCGCGGGCCAATCGTCTTAGATCCAACATATCTTAACATCATAATATATTCCTAAATTTGAAATTTGCATAATTTCGAAATTTAAGTATGTTGAGGGTGACAAATTGAGCTTATAAAATTCACCGATTCAACTTTCGGAAGTTAAGAATGAGATTGAAGTGAGTGATAGTTGTTGAGATTCTAAGGCCGCGACCGATTTGGGGGACTTTGTTTTTCTTTGTCTATTGCTAGGTTGAGTAAACGAAATGATATTCCATTGCTTCCTTTTTCCTTCGCGTTTAGGTTTAGGACAAATATTGCTTCGATATAAGAATGCCTCCCTTGCAATCCTTTTATATTCTTTTTTAACCACTTCGGGTTCTTTCTCCCAGGATTTTGATGCCATCGAAGAAATAATGGTCATTGGAAGAGAGTATCCCTCATCTTTTGTTGTTTTGATGAATAATTTTCGATAGATGATAAAAGCGTTAGGAGCTCTAGATGGTTCACGACCATCTGGGTATAAGGTAATTAAATCACGTGGATCAATTGTTGGTGGGAATATAAGTTTGATAGTTGGTTGAACATCGTCGACTACCTGGTTTGGAATCATAGTATTATTAGAGTTAATAAAGATGAAACCAGTCTGGAATTCACCCATTTTGATACTTTGTAATTTGCAACAAACTCTGGGTTTAAAGTAATTACTTTTTACTGTATTTATATTTTTTTCCGGTATGTATGGTAACATTCTAAAAATACCAACTGTACATTACAGTATTATAAACAATACGCAATTTGCACGAATCACGCTAAAAAAGTATAATGACGGTTTGTTTAGATGTCGATCAGTTAAAAATTTCTGCTAGAAAAATTTTTACTCACGCAAACCACACCACAATAATTCCATAATCGAATTGAGAGTTTCAGAGTATATATAGCCATTTTGATGATATTAAGTTCCACAATGCGCTATTGTTTACTAAGTCATTGTCCTATAGAGCAAAAGGTATTCCCGTGATTTAAGCAATATAAGTAAAATTTGGATATTATCTCATTTTCTTGACAAAGTCTATGCATAATTGCACAGCGTAAGTGTAATAACGAATAGGTTTAAAGACTTATTTTTCACAAGTAGCAATATTATTATTTTTGATAATTAAGTAATCATGCATACAACTGCCTTTTATGCCGATATTAGCAACACTGATTCGATAGCCAATTAACTAATTGATCTTTAACGTTTTACCAAGCCACTATTACAATGTTCTAGTTTGTTTCTGTCACTTTCAAAAATCATGTATTAATTTATCGATTCATAGGAATGTTTCAAACACATTTATAGGCCCTTTCAACATGTTCAAATGTTCTCTTCTAGGCCTTCTTTGTCAGATCAATAGTAATCGGTAGACTGGTTTAACTCTCGAAAACACAATTTATGAGTGAATATAAAAACATACGATTGGTTCTGCCAACGTACAGTGCCTATAAGTTGTAGATTATTCATCCATCCGATCCAGTTCTAATTAATGAAGGGATGTTCACAAAGAATCTTAAATATTGAATGTCATTCATACTTATATGATACGAACTGTTATTGTGCTTATTAAATAATTAATCCAATTATAAGTTAATTAATCGTGTGCAATATTATTTGAATGGTTTTGGTTTTGACCTCAAAGAACTCATGACAACCATCGCCAATGTGATTGTAAAGTTTTTCCTCAATTTCTCGGTACCTTATGTCTATCCGATAAAGTGTTACGTATTCAAAACATTATTATAGTTTGGAACATAGCAAAGGACTAATATATTTCTATGCATGTTAATGATGTAATGTCTTTCCGTCCAACCGAGTTGATGGGCAGCCAATCAGCAATCAGTATTTCTGACTAATCATTCATATTTCTCTATACAACTGTATATTCAATTAATACCGCGTAATACATCCTCGGATATTTAATAAATTGCCCGGGTCATAGAAATTCCGTATATTAATAATACATTCATCTCAAGATTGCGTAATTAAAAATATGTGACAATGATATAATATACAGTGTACACAAAATTAAGCAGATTAATAACAAGGCCTAAGTCATGCTGCGCATTAACAAAAGACGCTTGCTTTTGTTTTATTTATTACTTAAATTATAAAAAAAATAAAAATAAGCCTCATGATAGATTAATGTCACATGATAAATACACTAAAGCAAGAAGGCATGCCCGTCGCCAAAATTGCATGAATTATTGGAAAATTTGACGCTTGTTAACATCAATCAATAATACTAATTATTTATAGTCGATTATCATGAATGTTACAAATAGTTAATTTTGTGAAAAATCAGATTAATTTAATATTAAAAAGAGCTTAAAGATATATACTTGCTATTAAATTTTTATTGTATCTTATTTTTTATTATACCTTCATAAAAACTTTTTGAAAAAAAAATAATATCCATTTTTATTTTTTATTTTAAACTGTAACTAGTATTAGATATAGGACTTTATTAAAAATTAATTTAATGTCAGGAAAATCAAATCCATCTGCAGTAACATTAATAATATTATACAAGCTATATATTTCTATACAGTATATATGCAAATTAATGATATTTTATACAATTTATTCTAGATAGATCCAGTAACTATTTATCAAGTAAATGTATTGACTAAAAGTCAAATAGTTAATATAAATTATTAATGTTAAGTCTAGATTAGTTAGTATTAAGTTTACAAATTTTATCATTTCATTAATCTAGTTTTATTAATATATGTATAATATATCTGATATAAAATAAATATTTTTCAATATTTTCTTAATATTATTTGCTTGAGTATAAAAAAAATACATATTAATTTTTTTATTATCATTTGTATTATAATATTAAATTAATTTTTTTTTAATTTAATTCACAGTTAGATTAATATAACATGTCTTTATTATATATATATACATAAAATATTTACAAAATTATTATGATTTTTATATATTAACTTATTTGTTATAGAAAAATAATTCTTTAAATAGAACTTAAAAAATAATATTTTACTTCTTTACTAATTTAAATTGATATTAAATTAGTAGAATAATCATTTATAAATTATTAATATAAATTATTCTAAGTTTTAATAATGGTTTAAAATCTAAATTACTGTATTTAATATTGTAACAAACTTATTTTTTAATAATTTTTATATAATACTTTTTCTTTTCTTTTTTTTTGTTTTTTTTTTATCTATATCTTCTACTAAAGGTAACATTGATTTTTTATGATCTTTTATAGTCAATATATTCAGTTTATCTTTATATATTTTTGTTTTTTTCTTCTCTAATAATATTTAAATTCTTTTTTTAATTTATTACTTTGATCAATAACTATTTTAAATTTTTTTCTTGAAATTCTTTTGTATCTTTTAATAAAGCTTTCTAATTATAAACTATGTAATTGTCAGAAAGATTTTAAGCTACTTTTTTAGATAGTTTTTTAAGAATACAATTCTGTTTTTTTATATATTTATATATCATATTAAAAGAACTTCTATTTAATTATAGAATCTCTTTTAATCAATTTTTTAACTAATTATTAATCTTTAATAGAACTTCTTTCTTATTTTTTATTTTTTTATTAATATAAAAATTAATTATTATTATTTTTTCTTCTATATATTTTCTTTGACTTTTTAATAATTTGATATTCAAATAAATAATTTCATATTTCTCGAATAATGAATAAATAGTTAGTAAATAAACTTCTGATTTTATTTTTTAAGCATTATAGTATTAAAAGTTTATTATAAATCAGATTTATTAAAAAACTCTTATTTTTATTAATATTAAAGAATATGTCAAAGATATTAGATAAATTGAACTGATTTTAGAAAATTGTTCAATCTATATTTTTGTCTTACTGAATTCAAAGATCCTGAATTTTCTTTTATAATATCTAGTTTAAGTTAATTATTTTCTTGTTTACAGTTTTAACAAAGTTCTTAATATTGATATCTATTATATATACTCTTTATATAACTATTATTAGGACTTTTTCAAGTTCTACTAATTAATATTATACTATTATATTTGATTTGTTTAACAAAAAAGTTTATATAATTGTTAAAAAATTTTTTTTTTAATCCGCAGTTATATCACGATGACTTGTCTTTATTAAAAAATTGAAATAAATCTACAATATTTTACAGACTTTCACAATGTGACTAACTTGTTTTCATACAAAAGTACTCTAAATCAGATTTTGGGAACAATATTACACCCCCAATAGATTGGTAATAACCTCTATCTACCAGGATCATTGCCAACAGTTTGTCACTATTGATTGCCCAAAAATCAATGAATTGCTAAGTTAAAAAGGGGAAAAACGATTGGGAAAAGGGGACAATTCAAGGCCCACCAAAAAAATCCAAAAATAAAAACAACCTCTTCTCAAAAA